GAAAGAAAAAACTTGAAATAGTTTGGAAAAAAAAACAAAAAGAGTATGGAATAATGTTGTGTTAAGAAGTAAGGTGTGTTTAGTGTAACACTTGTGCTGAAAGAAGAAGTTTGATTGAAATTTTGTGTTTGAACTTTTGTGAATTGATCAGTCCCTTAGGTTTAGGCAACTTTTTGTTTCGATTAGCTTTAGGAATTATCCCTTGTTTATTACCCAAGCCACATTACAACCTTGAAAAGACCTTGTGATTCTTGCCTTTATATTTTCAATATGAATTTTTGGGTGAATGCATAATTTAGTCTTTTGTTTGCAAGATTGTGGATGAGTGTCAAAGTACCTCCCTTTTGTGTGTTCTTCATCTACCGATGAATTTTTACTATGTGTGATTCATGATTAAGTTTGTTTTGTTTTAGAATGTTTTGTATAATTTTTGTACTTAGGATTACGGTAAGTAATTACCTTGCGTGTGCGTTTTTGTTTGAACCATATATTTGTTTTCGTTTTTCATACCTGTTGATTCATGATTCTTTGGTTGATTACTTTTGCTTCTTTAAGTTTGTTTGGCCTTGTTTAAGGACAAACAAGTTCAAGTTGGGAAGAGTTTAATAAGTTCCAGAATGTAGTTATTTGTATATATGTTTTGTGGCACTTATCAGTTCTTTTGTTAATATTCTTTGAATAATTCCCCACTTTGTTTATAAATATGTTTAGTTTGTGTATATTTGTGATTTTGATTCATTTGTATACTGTTTGATAGATTTTACTTCTTTGTAGGTATTTGTTGCATATTTGGAGCATTGAGGAATAAGGTGTCGAAGACATGGCTCCAGATGCCCGTTTTCAAATTAAAAGACAAGTTTTGGGAAGTTATGTCTAGGCGAGTGCGCTTAGCGCGGTGAGGCCTCTTAGTGCAGTGTCTTGGTACTGTTCAGGTAGAGATGTGATTTTTGAGGCTGCTAAGTGTGAGTAGCTCGATTTGAAGGTGTGAAGAAAATGCAAGAAAGGGGGGTTTGAATTGGTTTTCCTTTCTTGGATAACTTTCACTTCTAGGCATTATTCGTTGAACAATGCTTCTGAGTGTTACTTATAAGTAATGCTTCTAATTAAGTTAAGAAAACATAAACTCTAAAGCATAAGCAAAAGTAAAGAACACACGATATATCTTGGTTCACTTAAGAAACCCCTAAGCTAGTCCAGTCCATCCTTCCGAGGTGATTTCGCCTTAAACTCAAGGACTTAATCGACTATAACCAATCTAATTACAATCGCACGAGAAACTGCCGATGACTAACATCCAATGATGCGTTCAGGGATCCATACTGGATATAACATTCATTAAACCAATAGAATTTGATTCACCAGAATCTCCTACCAGGGTTTCCTTTCAATGATATCCATCAGTGATCTCACAAAGCTAAACATCACTCAGTCCCCTTTGAGATATGACTACCATTGATCCAATAGAATCCACTACCAGGATCTCATCTATGATGACCGTAGCCAAAGTCTTCTCGCGTCTTCTGATATTCACTCGATCACTTGAGGAACTAACCAATTCTAAACAGAATTGTTTTTCTGGAGAATACATGAGTGCTTCTTATCAAGCAGATTACTCCTAATTTAAGTACATATTGTTTGACACAATCCTGAGTAACAACTCTTGTGTAAAAACAATTTACATGAAGATATTAATAAATAACACAATCTGAGCAACAACTCTTGTGTTTTACATATTTCTACAAAAATGAATATAATCTAAATTAAGTGCAGCATCTTGTAGTCTTTTTGTCTTTATCTTCATCGTTGAGCAAGATATGAGCAACAACTCCTTGCTTCTTCACAATTATGTCAAGGTGTATATGATTGATAGTTTGAATAACATCTTTTAAAATTCTTCATCTTTATCTTCTTTCTTCATTAAGCAAGATATGAGCAACAACCCCTTGCTTTTTCATAATTCTGCCAAGATGTATATGATTGGTGATTTGAGTAACATCTTGTAGAATTCTTGGTGATGTTATAGTGGATGATAGATTTTTGGTTATGTTCCAATAATGACAACTTTCATTTTAACATTGAACACCAACGTTCTTCTTGTTCAGCATGATGTTATAAGCCGCCAACAACCAGCAACATGCAGTTGGAAACATTTACACATACGATTCTTTTCTTATATAGCCAAGCAAAATAGAGTCATTGGCTATTTGAAAAAGAGTTGTTACAAATAGTATTTCTACGTCCTTATCTCTTCCATAATTCAAGCTAGTGGAGAGGTAATGGAATAAAGTTTTTTCGTACTATGTATTATTGTACCATGTTATTGTTATATTTTTTCCTTCTACACTTCATAGGCTTCTGCGAGCATGAGTTTAGAAGCGGGAACATAACATAAGGTCTTCAGAACTTCAAGTCTTGAGAATCTTCAGAACTGCATCTTCAGAGTCTTCATCACTTGGTTGTAAGCACTCGTAGTAGGGAACCTTGGATCAGAAGAGCTTCAAGTCTTCAGAGTCTTAAGAGCTGCGTCTTTAGAGTCTTCAACACTTGGTCTTGAGAACCCATTATAGATAACCTTGGACCTTTAGAACTTCAAGTCTTTGGAATCTTCAGAACTTCCATCTTTAGAATCTTTAGCACTTGGTTCTTTAAGAATCGTTATCTTTAGAACCTTGTTATTAGAAACACAAAGTCTTCAGCATATGGACTTCAGTAGAAATATTGCCTTCAGATCTTTTAACTTTGTCTTCTTTAAAAAAAATTGTCTTTTAGAAACTAAGTTTTTAGCATCTAGACTTCAATAGAAACTATGTCTTTAGATCTTCTAACTTTATTTCTTTGGAACACACTGCCTTTTAGAAACATGAGTCTTCAGCATTTGGACTTAAGTGGCAACTTTTGTCTTCATATCTTCTGACTATTTCCTTAGAACATATTGTCTTTAGAAGCTTGAGTCTTGGACGTAAGTAGCAACTTCTATCTTCAGATCTTTTGACTGGTTTCTTTAGACAAACACAAGAGCTTATACTTCAGATCCTTCTGGAGTATCTTTCTACTGTTAAACTGAACTTGTGTAGTGCAGAAGCAGAACTAATTTTCTTCTAATGTCTTGGCCTAGCCATCCATCAGAAGCATTACCTGTTTATTAAGTACCCAACAATAACAAACATTAGTACAACAAAATCATTATACAAACATACTCATTTGTTATCGTCAAAACTCAGAGATAATATAGCAGGATCAAATCTTGTTCTAACATGCTTAGCGCGCTTTTAGGTGGTTTAACATGTTAATTTTGGAAGTTGTGCTTAGTGCGCCAAGCCCGCTTAGTATGGCCTTCTGAATTTTTTATTTTACAACTTTCATTTCTTACTTTTTCTTGGCTATGGTTTTTGGGGTGTTTTTGTTCTTCCAACTCCATCACCTTATTTCTTAATAGATTATTGCTATAGACATATACTGCTCGAATTCTTATCTAGGATGATTATCTAATAGTGTCTAGATTCTAGAGATAGATTTAGAGCTATTATTCACTTAGGTGTCTGTGATTAATTCCTCTATGTTGGTTGTGTTGTGCTGAGAGATCGTCAATGCGAGTATCACAGTTGACTTCTGTGTTGTTAAGGTTGGCTGAGAGATTGCCTCCTTGATGATGCATTAGGTGTTATGTTTGATACATGATTACATTGGTGAGTCTTGTAGGATGAGTATAACTGGTCGATAGGTTTAAGTTTGTGAGGAGTGGATTATATGCATGCTTGATAAGTCTCTTCTCCAAAGAATGAATTCTTTTTCTGTTAATAACCTTAGATTCCCTAATTTACTTCAAACCCATTTTAACCCAAACTCATTATCAAGAGATTTGTCAAACGGAAATTTAGTAGCACTAATTCATGTGGAGACAATACGATATACCCTATATCAAAATAAATACTTACTTTTTCTTGCCGCTTTACCGCTCACTACTTCCATATTTCACATTAAACTCACATGATCATGAATGTTTTGAGACCATTAAAACGTTTTAGTCATCAACTCACTCATTAAATTCCCCAAAACAAATATATCAATAATGTCAGAATAAGAGTAATCTTTCACATTTTTCATAAATTCCCATTCATTTTCTGTTTTGAGCACAAATGGCTTAACATTTTCACCCATTGTCATTCCTATCGAGTTCAAAGACAACCCGTTGGACCTTTCCCAAGGTTCAAAGAGAGACTTTTTATCTTTTGTGGTGTCGATTTTATTAGTTGTGAGCTACTCATCCATTATCCTTGGCATCTTCAAACACTCAGTTGGAACTAGTTCTTTTCAGACCAATCACCATAATTAATTCCATTGAACCTTGTCATTTCATCCCTAAAGCAAACATTTTACTAGCAATTGCAAACATTTTAAAACACTTTCATATGTTAATTCTTTGAATAAATTTCATGGATTCAAAATAATTATATTTAAAAATGTATCTAAATTCACCTTTTTGTAGTACCTAAATACATTTCAATAAACTATAATGATGCTAAATGAAAGGTTAATCATGCAGATTGTAACACCCCTTCTAATAAACCCCGAATTAAACGATATAATTAAAATCAGAGAAAATAAAATTTTGCACGGAAGGAGTGTCACAACATCAATTCACATATTCAAGAAAAACGGACATGACATATTCGTCACTTTAATCATTTAATCACATAATACATTCATGGCATATACTTTCTTTTTCGTGCAAACGCAACGGAATCATAATAACTTCATCTCCAAAGGAGGAATAAAAATATAAAATTCAAGGCATTAAGTCATATGGTTCATACACCAAACATGTTATCAAGTCATAATACACATACATCAATACATAATTAAAACAATGGATTATATACAAGTATAATCCATCTACAAAATATACGAGTTCGAATGCGGACACCTAACCCCCAAGTGTTACAACCAGAGCATCGACTCGATAAACCAAAATAAAACGGATTACAATCCAAATGCATCCACTAAGTTAGTGCCTCGCACTGCCATCTTCGGTACCTGAACAACGCCGAAGCAAGCATTTTCCAACAGAAGGGTAAGAATTCCATCAAACATAAAGTATATAATTTAAAGCAAATGAAAGGAATTAAATAAAGGAATCTTACTCTTTTTCCAACTCTTACATAAACTACATAAGATATTCATTTAATCAAATTCTCATATTCAACAAATCAAAGTAAACAAACACAATCCATTTCATTTAGCAATTAGCACATAATGCATAATATTCAACGACACATAAACTCAATAAAACGTGTACGTGCGACTCTACACAATGACACGACTCATGCATGTAGTACCAATCATCTATTATCCTTCGGACTTGCCGATGTCTATCCCTCAGACAGATAATCACAAAAGTCCATTCCCTAAGCTTTCAAACCCCCACTATGAGTTTGGGACGAGCCACTAGCCTCCACGAGACTAACAGACATCGCCTCTTGACATGACTTATGATGCGGTGTGCAATTCAATCAACAACAATATGCAAATCGAGGCATCCCTCTATCTCAATTTTAAGCATACATCACCATAACTCAACCCTATGAATTAATCTCACAACATTGCACAACAAACATCATTTATTTCATTTTCAACAATTATCCCACAACACCAAAATATTCATAAACCAAACACATCATTTCCGGAATCGGAAATTAACCAATTATCTCGAATATTCAACACATCTATAATTTAATTCATCTCCGGCCGTACTCAAAATATTAAGTATTACCAATTAATCGTAACCGGTTATATTAATTAATTACACTGTTAATTATAATATATATTAATATATTAATTAAATTATTAATATAACATAATATTTATAAATTAAACAATGTTATTTCCGGAATCGATATTTCACAATACATTTCAAATCTATCACATATCTACGATTTAATTAATCTCTGGTCGAAATCAAAATATCAAATTTCATCGATAAACCGTAACCGATTATATAATTAATCACACTATTAATTATAATATATATAAATATATATATATATATATATATATATATATATATATATATATATATATATATATATATATATATATATATATATATATATATATATTAACAAAGTAGTAATGTTACAGTAACAAAAACAAAACAAAAAAGGAACGTAACCCTCCACCCACCTCCACCCCCAACACATGCCACGTGTCACCCACCCACCCCAAGTGCCCTCCCCCCCTAAGTGCCCCCCTCTCTTCTTCTCCATTGCTAACAGTATTATTTTTTCTTTTTCTTTTTCTTTTTAACAGTAAAAAAAATTGAAAAATCGAAACCAAATGAAAAAAAATACACTAGATGTTTAGAGGAAGTCTAACCCTTACCGATTAGTTCCCGGAACGAGCTTTTTCGGTTGATTTTCCAGAAATTTCTTCCTCTCCTCTTCAACCCTAGTTTTCCTCTTTTTCTTCACTTCTCCTTCTCTACTTCTCTCTTTCTTACTTTCTGATATTTTTTTCTATCTTCTAACTAACCCACTACTACTAATATACTACTTTATTATATAATATATAAAACTAACTTATTTCTTTTATATAAACAAACTAACAATATTATTTTAATTACTAAACTAACTTTTATATATATATATATATATATATATATATATATATATATATATATATATATATATATATATATATATATATATATATATATATATATATATATATATATATATATATATATATATATATATATATATATATATATATATATATATATATATAACATTAACACATAGCATAAGTTAACGTAACTTATATATAATAAAACTAATATTTTATTAAATTAATTTAATATAATTAAATAACATTAATTTATTAGTTTATAATAAATCAATTAATACTAATATAAATCCATCCTCTCAAATAAATCAAATAATACATATAATAAAATATTTACACACTAAATATAATATTATCGTACAAAAATAATTATTTTTCGGTAAAACAAATAAACCCAATTAATCACATACCGGACCGAATTACCGATTAAATAATTATTATTTTATTTAAAATAAACATCAACCGGTCATTTTTAGAAAATAATAATATAAATAATATTAATTAAAACGGGGTGTTACAACTCTCCCCCACTTAAAAGATTTTCGGCCTCGAAAATTACCTCTAAACGAACAACTCGGGATATGAATCCCGCATCCGGCTTTCAAGCTCCCAAGTTATGTTTCCATTAGCCGCACCACCCCACACCACCTTAACCAAAGAAATATCTTTTCCTCTAAGTTGCTTCACTTTCCGATCTTCAATTCTTGTCGGCAAGGTCTCAACGGTTAAGTCTTCTCTAACTTCCACATCGTCCACTTGCACCACATGTGACGGATCCGCAATATACTTTCGCAATTGCGACACATGAAACACATCATGTAAATTGGAAAGTGATGGTGGTAATGAAATCCTATACGCCACATTACCAATCCTTTCTGAAATTTGATACGGACCAATAAACCGAGGTGTCAACTTCCGCGGTTTAAGAGCCCGACCAACACTCGTCGTAGGATTCACTCTCAAAAACACATGGTCATCCTTCTTGAACTCAAGAGGCTTCCTCCTCTTATCATGGTAGCTCTTTTGGTGACTTTGTGAAATTTGCATCTTCTCTCTAATCAACTTAATCTTATCCGTAGTTTGTTGCACAATTTCCGGTCCAACCACCACACTTTCTCCTGACTCGTACCAACATAAAGGTGTTCGACAACGCCTTCCATACAACGCTTCAAAAGGAGCCATACCTATGCTAGAATGAAAACTGTTGTTATAGGTAAACTCAATCAAAGGCAAGTAACTTTCCCAAGAACCTCCTTGTTCTAACACTTAAGCACGCAAAAGATCTTCGAGCGATTGAATGGTTCTCTCTGCTTGACCATCCATCTATGGATGATAAGCGGAACTCAAACGTAACTTAGTACCCAAAGCTCGTTGCAAACCCTCCCAAAATCTAGATATGAACCGCGGGTCTCTATCTGAAACAATGCACGTCGGAATACCATGCAAACATACAATCCGCTCCACATACAACTTTGCAAGCTTCTCCATCGAGTAATCCATTCTAATTGGAATAAAGTGAGCAGATTTTGTCAATCTATCCACTATAACCCAAATAGCCTCATAGTTACTCGGGGTCCTCGGCAAACCTGAAACAAAATCCATCGAGATACTGTCCCACTTCTATTTCGGTATAGACAGAGGTTGTAACAAACCGGAAGGCTTTTGATGCTCTATCTTAGACTTTTGACATACCAAACACGAATACACAAATTCTGCAATTTCCATTTTCATACTCGGCCACCAAAATAACTTTTTCAAATCTTGATACATCTTTGTGGCGCCGGGATGAATGCTCAACCCACTTCGGTGTCCTTCCTCAAGGATCCTCTTTTTCACATCGCTCACATCGGGAACACAAACTCTATCACGACATCTCAACACGCCGTTCTCATCAATTCTAAACTCTCCTCCTTGACCTTGGTTAACTAAAGTCAATTTGTCAACCAAAACCAAGTCCTCTTTTTGTCCTTCTCTTATCTCATCCAATATTCCACTTGTAATCTTCAACATACCAAGTTTCACAACAAAGTAAGTTTCTTCACAAACCAAACTCAAGTCGCGAAACTGTTCAAGTAATTCCCACTCTTTAACCATTAGCATAGACATATGCAATGATTTTCTACTCAACGCATCGGCAACCACGTTCGCCTTTCCAGGATGGTAATTCAAACTAAAATCATAATCTTTCAAGAACTCTAACCATCTCCTCTGCCTCATATTCAACTCTTTCTGATCAAACAAATATTTCAAACTCTTATGATCACTGAAAACGTCGAATCTCGATCCAAACAAGTAATGTCTCCAAATTTTCAACACAAAAACAACAGCTGCCAACTCCAAGTCATGAGTCGGATAATTCCTCTCGTGTACCTTAAGTTGCCTCGAAGCATAGGCCACCACTTGCCCACTTTGCATCAACACACCACCTAACCCCATCAATGAAGCATCACAATACACTATAAACGGTTCAGATGGATTAGGTAAAACCAACACAGGAGCAGTAGTCAACCTTCACTTAAGCTCTTGAAAGCTATCCTCACACTGAGTAGTCCACACAAACAATTTCCTCTTTCTCGTCAATTGTGTCAATGGTAAAGCCAACTTCGAAAAACCCTCAATGAACTTACGATAGTATCCGGCTAAACCAAGGAAACTTCGTATCTCAAACACAGATTTAGGAGATTCCCATTCAGACACAGCTTCTATCTTGGTTGGATCGACGACAATACCTCCATGAGATATCACATGTCCAAGAAAACTCACTTGCTTCAACCAGAACTCACACTTAGAAAGTTTAGCAAACAACTGATTCTCTTTCAAAATTGACAACACAATTCCTAAGTGCTCGGCATGCTCTTTCTCATTCTTCGAATAGATAAGAATGTCATCAATAAAGACCACCACAAACTTATCAAGGAACTCATGAAAGATTCTGTTCATGTACTCCATAAACACACCAGGTGCGTTCGTAACACCAAAAGGCATCATCGAATACTCATAGTGTCCGTACCTCATCCTAAACGCCGTCTTTTGAATGTCACTAGCTTTCACACGAATTTGGTGATAACCAGATCTCAAGTCAATCTTACTGAACACATAAGCTCCTACCAACTGGTCCATTAAATCATCAATTCTAGGTAAAGGATATTTGTTCTTGATAGTAACTTTGTCCAACTGCCGATAATCCACATAAAGTCTCATCGTTCCTTCTTTCTTCTTTACTAGCAACACCGGTGCACCCCACAGAGAAACACTCGGACGAATGAACTTCTTATCAAGTAACTCTTCAAGTTAGCTCTTTAGTTCAACCAATTCTTATGGTGACATCCGATACGGAGCCATCGAAACAGGACTAGTACCAGGAACTAAATCAATAGAAAACTCCACTTCACGTTCTGGAGGTAAATCCGTAATCTCTTCCAGAAACACCTCTGGAAAATTACAAACAACAGGAACATCCTTTCTCACTCCACTATCACCAAGACTCATGCTTTCCATCAACACAAACAATTCAGCCCCATCTCTAACACACCTCTTCATCTGTTGAGTAGACAGGAACGCAACGCCTTCTTTCTCAGACTCGAGAAAAAGAACCGCTTTAGCAAAACAATTGATATAGACGTGGTTGGCTCTCAACCAGTCCATACCCAAAATGACATCAATCTGACTCAAGGGAAGACATACGAGATCAACTTTGAAATCTCTACCACACATACGCAAAGGACACTTCAAACAAATGGCTCAAGTAGAAACCGAACCCATCGCAGGCGTATCTATCTCCATACTTCTACCCAAATTAGATAACACAAGACCTAAACTAGTAGCACAATCCAATGAAATGAATGAATGCGTAGCACCCATATCAACAATAGCAATCAAAGGTACATTAAGGATAAAGCAAGTACCTCTGATCAACCTCTCATCTGCCGAAGTCTCGGCACCAGACAAAGCAAACACTTTTCCTCGCTCCTTCTTTGGCTTCGTGCACTTTGTACTAATGTGCCCTTGCTCGCCACAGTTGTAGCAAGTCACACTAGCACCCAACCTGCACTCGTTAGATCGGTGACCAATCTTCCCACACTTGAAACATGTCGGCTCAGCTTGGTGACACTCCATAGCACGGTGTCCCTCTTTCCCACATCTATAGCACTTCACCGGAGTAATAACTCCCCCACTTGGACTCTTGCCCACATTCATCGGTTGCTTCCCTTTTCCATCATAAGGCTTAGGACGCATTTGCCCCTTGCCTCTCTTGTCACTTAAACTCTTGTAGTAAGCACTACTCTCACGACTATCCTCGTCATAGATATGACTTTTGTTCACCAATTCAGAAAAGCGGGTAATTTGTTGGTACCCGATTACTTTCTTCACATCCGGCCTTAAGCCGTTCACAAACTTCAAGCATTTAGATCTCTCGGCATTCACCGTATTATAGTGGGGACAATACTTGATCAATTCTTGGAATTTGGCGGCATACTCCGCAACGCTACCACTCCCTTGTTTCAACTCCAAGAACTCCACCTCTTTCTTACCACGGACATCCTCGGGAAAGTAATTCTCCAAGAAAGTATCTCGGAACATTGCCCACGTAACCACAGTGTTCTCTTCATCGAACCTATGACTTGTATTAATCCACCAATCTTCCGCTTCCTTCACAAGCATGTGAGTTCCGAATTGCACTTTCTGAGCATCGGTGCAATTCATCACTCGGAAAATCTTTTCAATGGCCTTCAACCACTATTGAGCTTCTTCGGGCGCATGCTCTCCTTTGAAAGTAGGCGGGTTGTTTTTCTGAAACTTTCCAAGAGCACGAAAAGCATCATCAACTCCATCATGTGGCACTGGATTAAGTTGCGGCCTCTGATTCAAGGATTCAGCGAGCAATCGTAATGCCTCAGCAAGTGCATTATCATTCCTCCCAGCTACCATCTTCTTCTGAACAACACAAAAGTATTGATCGCGTCAGATACACAATCAAATACAATGGAATTATTAACATTAAGACCTGACAACTGACCGACAATGCTCTGATACCACTATTGTAACACCCCTTCTAATAAACCCCGAATTAAACGATATAATTAAAATCAGAGAAAATAAAATTTTGCACGGAAGGAGTGTCACAACATCAATTCACATATTCAAGAAAAATGGACATGACATATTCGTCACTTTAATCATTTAATCACATAATACATTCATGGCATATACTTTCTTTTTCGTGCAAACGCAGCGGAATCATAATAACTTCATCTCCAAAGGAGGAATCAAAATATAAAATTCAAGGCATTAAGTCATACGATTCATACACCAAACATGTTATCAAGTCATAATACACATACATCAATACATAATTAAAACAATGGATTATATACAAGTATAATCCATCTACAAAATATACGAGTTCGAATGCGGACACCTAACCCCCAAGTGTTACAACCAGAGCATCGACTCGATAAACCAAAATAAAATGGATTACAATCCAAATGCATCCGCTAAGCTAGTGCCTCGCACTACCGTCTTCGGTACCTGAACAACGCCGAAGCAAGCATTTTCCAACAGAAGGGTAAGAATTCCATCAAACATAAAGTATGTAATTTAAAGCAAATGAAAGGAATTAAATAAAGGAATCTTACTCTTTTTCCAACTCTTACATAAACTACATAAAATATTCATTTAATCAAATTCTCATATTCAACAAATCAAAGTAAACAAACACAATCCATTTTATTTACCAATTAGCACAAAATGCATAATATTCAACGACACATAAACTCAATAAAACGTGTACGTGCGACTCGACACAACGACACGACTAATGCATGTGGTACCAATCATATATTATCCTTCGGACTTGCCGATGTCTATCCCTCAGACAGATAATCACAAAAGCCCATTCCCTAAGCTTTCAAACCCCCACTCTGAGTTTGAGACGAGCCACTAGCCTCCATGAGACTAACAGACATCGCCTCTTGACACGACTTATGATGCGGTGTGCAATTCAATCAACAACAATATGCAAATCGAGGCATCCCTCTATCTCAATTTTAAGCATACATCACCATAACTCAACCCTATGAATTAATCTCACAACATTGCACAACAAACATCATTTATTTCATTTTCAACAATTATCCCACAACACCAAAATATTCATAAACCAAACACATCATTTCCGAAATCGGAAATTAACCAATTATCTCGAATATTCAACACATCTATAATTTAATTCATCTCCGGTCGTACTCAAAATATTAAGATTTACCAATTAATCATAACCGGTTATATTAATTAATTACACTGTTAATTATAATATATATTAATATATTAATCAAATTATTAATATAACATAATATTTATAAATTAAACAATGTTATTTCCGGAATCGACATTTCACAATACATTTCAAATCTATCACATATCTACGATTTAATTAATCTCCGGTCGAAATCAAAATATCAAATTTCATCGATAAACCGTAACCGATTATATAATTAATCACACTATATATATATATATATATATATATATATATATATATATATATATATATATATATATATATATATATATATATATATATATATATATATATATATATA